CAACCCGAGCGCCAGCTTCTTGGCACGGCCCGCTCAAGGGGCAAAGCGCGGGAAGCCAGCACGCCCGCGTTTGCACACGCAGCCCGGTGGTCACCAAGCGGGTCGAGGCGACCCCGACAAGCGCATGCGCGTGGCGCGACCGGCAGCGCAAGTCTCAGGCGTCGCAACAGGATAACCCGGAACTGCGGAGAGGCGACCGCGAGCTCCGGGGAGGTTGGGAAGACTGTCAGGGCACGTGCAGCGTATGGCCCAGCCTGCGACAGCAGCAGCGCACGAGATGCGGCATCAAGGTGAGAAAGATGCAACTCGAGCGCGCGCTCATCGCCGGCTGCAGCAGCAAGTTGGTAACGGCACGGCTCCCCAAATTCCCGCTTGACCGATGCCTGGGCTTCGACCTGCGTGGAGCCCCAGTCCGGCACACCATAACCCTGCCCGCGAAGGTAGGCCGCAGCCTGTTGGGCCGCCACGAGGGGGGCAGCAGCTTCAGGCCGCTCGCCTGCAAATTTTGCAGCAGCCGCGCAGCGACCGCCGGGGCGCGAGCGCGGATGGCAGTGTGTTCAGGAGGCCGAGTACGCCGCTGGCGCGGTGGCGACAGCAGAGCGCAGTCCCGAGCGTCCGCTGCGCTTGCTCGGGTCCCGGGCAAAGTCCACAGTCACCCGGGTAGGGAGCATGCGGAGCAGGTAGTTGGCTCGGGGCGAGGCACAAAACAGCAAAAGCAGCCACGCGGCTTGCAGGTCCGACAAGGACGGGAGCCGTCGGAGCAGGGCGTCCTGCGAGTCACGCTTGCGGCGCAGCTCATGCTGGACGAAGGCCTCGCTTCCAAGCGGGGCACCGAGGACTAGGATACCTTGCTGGCAGGAGGGCAAGGACCAGGCGCCAGTCCAGATTGTGTCGTCAAGGAGGAGCCGCAAGGAGCCGCGCCGCGCGCCTCGTAGGCAGGCCAGCAACGTCAGCGGGAAGAGCGCATGCAACGGCAGGACGGTGAGTAAGCACGGCATGTGAGAGGGGGTCGCCGCTCAGGGTCGCGGAGCTCTGCCAAGGTCTCGGCGGTGCCTGGCGCCAACGGCGCTGCTGTGAGCGCCGAGCTGTACCAGCCGGACGGCTCGTGCCGCACGGGCTGACTCGCTGGCTTCAGCAGTGTTGCCACGAGGCTCAGGGTGAGCTCGGGGCGCTTGGTGCAAGAGCATTCCCCTCGGCGGAAAAGCTCGCAACGCCGCTCAAGCTCCCTGGCGTCGATGAAGGACTGGCCAGCATCGCGACGGAGCAGCATGCGGGAGGCAAGGAAGAACAGCTTCCAGCCCCGAGCGACCTCGGCAGGCCCTGCAGTTCCCAGCGCCTCGCGGAGGCCGGTGCGGAGGGCAGTGCGAAGAGTGCCTCGCACCTTGTGCGGTGCGGCTTGAAGCGTGAGCACGCGCTGGCGAATCTCATCATGCAGGCTGATGTCGTCAAGCTGCCGAAGGCCGCGGCGAAAGCCAGCTTCGGCAGCGATGAGGCGTCGCTCAGCCTGGGTGGCTTGCGACCTTCCATCGACTTGGGCGGCCTGCGGCCTTGCGTCTTCCGGGGCCGGGCAGTCTTCTGTCGGTTGCGCCTCCCGACTGGCGCGGCCTCGCCCGCGACCCCGGCCTCCACGGCGGGTTTGCCGATGGGAGCTTGCGGCGCGCTCGGCCGCAAGTGCTAGGCCAAGTCACCAACAGCTGGGATGGCCGGGGGTGCATCGGCTACCTGGACGTCGCAGGCTTCGGCGCGGTCAGGGGGCAGGCTGCCGTGAGTAGGCGCCACCACACCAACCGCTGCCTCACCGCTGGGAAGGTCAGCGACGGTGCCATCTTCGGCATGTTGGGGGGCCGGTCCAGTCTGGGCGTGAGGCTCGTTGGATGCCGCCTCCTCAGCTTTTTGTCCAGCAGCGTTCCCTAAAGGGGGAGGTTCGATGGCCCCGTACGTGACGGTTAGGCGGCGCGCGTGTCGGAAAATGTCCGATCGACGGTCAAGCGTTGTTGCAAATCCGGCGCCGCCAAACGTTTCCAAGCACACCGCCTGACCCGCAGCAGTGATGTAGCCGTCTTCCCCAGCCAAATGACGCACGACCCATCCAAGGTGGATCAACGTGCTGGGTGGGAGAGTGGCGGCCTCCGCTAGTGCTGTTTCAGGCAGCGCTTCATGATTGTGGACGGCTGCTGCGATGAGCGCCTCCGTTAGGGCGGCCACCGGGACAGGGGCCGAGGCAGCAAGGGCACGACGGGCCTCTTCCCACCATGGGGCGGCTCGCGGGTCGGCACGCCACTGGGCGAGTGCTCCATCAGTGAGTGCGCCGAGCGCGGCATGCAGCAACGGCACGTACAGCCAAGAGTTTGTCGGGCTGCGGACTTGCGCGGGCGGCCCGCAGCCATACCACTCGTCGCGCGACTCCCCATCGCGAGGGTCGGCAGATGTGTGGGTCTGTTGCGCTCCCACGCCTGTACTTGGGGGATGCGCTGCAGGCGCATCACGGGCAGGCCCAGTCACATGAACCCGGCCATGCGCGCCGGGGCTTGTAGTGGCAGCGCCGACGGGTGGCGTGGCTTGGGTGTGAGGTCCCGGCACAGAGCCCCGCGCGGCCATGGGAGGCGCGTCAGTGGGCTCAGGGGACCGTGGTGCAAGGGAACAGCCGCGCGGGCATGCAAGGTGCCCAGATGCCGTTGCACGGTCAAACTCCCAGGCAAGGACATGGCCACAGCCAGGGCAATGGCTCCCAGCTTCTGGATATAGCCATAGCCTTGGAACATCCGGCTCATCAATAGCCATCAATGCCTAAGCTTATCACCTTTGTTGGGGAATACCCTGGAGGTATTGTGCAACGGGGCAATGTTCATGGCCGAGTCATAGGCCCCTGCGAACTCTGCCACACCGCAATCGGACGTCAGCAAGCTTCGCAGTCAGGTCTTTCTCGGGGCTTGCCAACAGCGATGATAGCGGCAAGTTGCCAATGTAGATCCCGAACCGTGGGCGAACCAAGAGGTTACATTGGATCTTCTCCACAACGCCCCTGAATGGAATCATGGACTTGCTCAAGCTTTGCGCTCCGGCGCTCCATCTGCCTCCAATTTCTGTTACCAGGACCAGCAACCGCTGAGGGCCGCCGTTCCGGATATGCGGCAAGCTTGCGGCGCTCCGCTATCAGCAGGGCAGCGCTGTCGACCTCGTCAGTGCACGGCTGCGCCCGTCCTTGCAAGAGGGGACACCAAAGTAGCATCACAGCATAGCGCATTGCCCTGCGCTGTTGCACTGTACACCACAAAGTCCAAGCGCCAGCCACTGCTGTGGCACGACCTGTCCTTCGGCGCCGACAGCCTCACCTGCCACGCGCACCCACGCCCGCTCCAGAACCTTGGCGCGCCTGGCCAATAGGCCCGACCTGGGGCAGGCGAGAGTGTGGTCGCCAAAGGCGTCCAAGCTCCCGGCGCAACCTGGGCTGGGGCCGCACTTGTTGAGGCTGAGCGGCAGCACTAGACGCAGGCGTCTGCGCAGCGCAACCTGCATGGCTTGTGGCATCAAGGTGGTGGCAGGCTCAGCCGGGACAGCCACAAGCCACGCTCCGGCGTGAGGACCCGCTTGCGAGCGGAGTATGGTCTGGCTAGGCGACAAAGTTGGCATGGGCACAGGCTTGCTTCGCCTGGGGCAACGGGGCGCTGGCCGTCGAGGACCGTGCGCCAAGTGGGGCAGTCTGTCCACCCCGCTGGCCTCCGCTGCCCTGCGCAAACAAATGGCGTGGCCGCCTCCGTCTGCCAGGAGCGCAGCATAACTTGCGGCGCGTTCTGGGGGCCGTTCTGCCCACACTGCCCAGTACGCCGTCGGCGCAGCCCGCTCGGCCGACTGGAGGCCTACGCCGCTCAGTATCGCTCAGCTGTTCAGGATAGGAAGCCATGAACCACGGCATTATGTGTTCCAAGTGCAACAACAACAAGAGAGGGCCTTGGGTCTCCCAGCGCTGGAATCTACGAAGTCCGACTCTTCGGGCTCTCCCGATTTGGGTTATGCCTGTCAGACTAGCGGAAAGCGCATCAATTGCTGCGCATTATACCAAGGCATGCGCTATTTGGACTATACCAGTAACTCTGATAATCCCGATGAGGCGACTGTTTATGAATGATGGCTGGATGAGCAGACAGAGTTGGTTGGCATCGTCCTTGCACTCACCGACCAAGATATGTTCAATTCACCATTCGATGGTTGCCTTGTTTCCCCGGATGTGGATATGAGGGAATGGATAGTGGTGGCATATTCCGCAGTCAAAGGCACCCGAACGGAGAAATCCTTGTTTAACTGGGGTTTTGTCAGATGCCCTCCGGCGCACGCCGTGCAAATGTACAAGCAGAGCAGGGGATCGTCATTGCGTGTGGTCATGGGGACGAACAAGTACGACCTCAATTTCCCTGCCGGGCACGATCTAGGCAATGCGGTGCTCAAGCACATCATGAGCGAATCTCAATGGACGAGAATGTTCGGAGATCCACGCACAGGGACTGGGCCCGGGCGCCCCCTCGGGCGAGCTCGGGGTAAGTGGTTCGCTTGCGCCGCTCCGCCACTTGCCACACGGCCCCATGCCGAGAAGGTGCGCCTGCATGCGCGGAGCCGTCCCGACGCAGCGGCGACACCAGCGTGGCATCGCAACAGATGGCCCCTCCCAGCGGCGTCGCCCCGTAGAACGGCGGTCATCTGCAGCGACGCCAGGCGCGGTGGTGTGCGCGAGCCATTGCTGGGGTACAACATGCCCCTGAGGCCCACCGGCTTCACAGGCGACCCGGCACCACGCCCTCTCGGCGAGTTTTGCGCGTCGGGCGAGAAATCCCGTGCGAGGGCACGCCAAGGCGTGGTCACGAAATGCGTCTGAACGCTGCCCGCAACAAGTCGTGCCTCGGTCACCACAAGTGGCCGGCGCCAGCGGCAGCGGGGAGCTTCAGCCTGCGACGGAGCGCAATTTGCATGAGCAGCGTCAGCACAACAGGAGCCGGCTGACGAAGTCGGCAGGCGCGAGCGCAATGACCTCGTCAGGGCCGGCACCCGATCTTGCGCGGGACTGCTCGTGCTTGCCCCAATTCTGTCTTGCGAATCGCTTGCTGCACCGCGGTGAACAGCACACTCCGCCAGCGCTTAGCCCAGGCGAGCGATGTGTGAGGATCGCTTGGGATGGCCGTCAGCCAAGCACCCGCATGCGGGCCCGCCTGCGAGCGCAGCATCGCACGGGAAGCCGGAAGCATCAAGGGTTACAGCAGGTGGTCGCGGTAGAAAAGGTTGCGAGTAATTACGCGACGCACGGCACTGCCATCCGTGTCTCCACTCATCGAACTCGTGGCCTGGTTCCGCGGGCGAGTTCATCCCAGGCGGGGGGCTCGCTCCAGCCCGAGCAGTGACCTGCTTCCGCCCGCCGCTCGCAGACAGGCGGGGGCGTGCTCACTGGTCAGGGCACGCGCTGTCCATTCCGCCAAGGCCCGATTGCGTGTGGCGAGCACAGGGAGCGCATCAGCCCAAGCCGCCCAGCAAGCCGCGGGGCCTGGGCAAGGCCCAGCCCCCCCAGGCATGCCGGAGGCAAAGCAATGTCACGCGCAGGGCAAGCTGCGTCCTCCGCTGGTTCCCCAAGCATGCTTGCAACGTGCCCCATATAGCCGCATCATGGGCTGCAGCATACGGCCCATTCAACCTTGGGGGAATCGTGCGGAGCGCATGGTGGGCACAGAAGCACAGGAGGAGCTAGGCACACTGCAGGTTGGGCATTCGCGGCAGCTGTCGCAAGCGGTCCGTACCCGGCGGCCCACAGCGCCTCGTGGTTTTGAAGGCTGAGGTGGGCGGGTGCTGGAATGATGGCACGCAGCGATTCCTGCGCCACCTCGTCCGTCTCCGCGCCCAGTGCGCCCCGCCAGCTTTCCATCGCGCCGCGGCGTCAGCTTGGGCGCGACGGTGGAGTGGTATGTTGGCAGTGGTTGTGCAGCAGGCAGTTGCCGGCACAGCGCTGGGCCTGCAGGGACCGCAGCTGGCAACGAGCGCTGCGGGAAACCCGTCTGGCCCGGACTTGGACCTGCACCTTGCGGCAGCGGAAGGGCCTAGCTAGCCATTGCGGCCATAGGTAAGCTAGCTATGGCTAGCTGACCGGGACCCAAATTGGCAGACGCAAAATGGTCCGAGCAAAAACCTAAAAAAAATTGCACGCAGAAAGACTGGAACGTCTTGCAGCGTCGGGACGGGATTGCGCAGCTCATCCGCAAAGTGCACTTCGTCCGAAGGTAGCTCGCATTGGGTTGGGGGTGTTGGCGCAGGACACGTTGGGACCTCAGACACAGCAGGGGCATGGGCGCGCAGCTGAAGCCGGGCTCTTCACCACGTGCGTCCACACGGCCAAGCTGTGGGGGGGCCGGACGGGGCGCGTGCTCGGCGGCGTGCTCTCCTGCTGCGTCTACGCCGTGTCGGGTCGGGCGGTGGCCCAGGGTCGCAAGGCGGGGCGGCCCTGAGGGTTTCCGTGCCGCTGCCGCATCCGCTGCAGCAGCTGGACCTCCATACAATTCCAACAACGCCGCCTGGGCAAGCGCCGGTGCAGCACATTTGGGGCAGAATTGTCGCAGCAGATTCTCAACGTGCGGAAATCTTTCGCAGTGGTATTGGGTCAACCAGCGATTGTCATCACCTTGGAGGAGGACAAACCCACCCTGAAAACCGTCAAGACTGGACTTGCTGACGCGCTCACCAATGTCAAGCACGAAGAGGAGATTGAAGATGATGAAACGCAGGCTTTGGATGAGGCAGAGGTTGTGGCCCCTGCAAATGTCGACAAGGCTCACACAGATGATCAGGATGATATGGTGATGGAAAAGCCCGAGACGCTTGACTATGAGGTTGCCGACCCCTCTTGGCGGCGCGACACCTCCCCCACCGCCAAGCGATGAAGAAACTGACCCGGCGGCATCCAAGAAGAGAAAAGCGGCCGATGCTTTGGGAGAAGTTCTGGACATGGCGGACTCGTTTAGGGTTTGTCCTATCTGTTGGGTGCCCCATCCAGAAGCAGAATGTCCACGCCGTTCAGAAAGCCAAACCTTGATCCAGACGTACCTACACATGCAACATGGAGGTAAGCCGATTGAGGTGAGTAGACTGGTTGAAGAAAGGCGGGACACTGATGTGGTCATGGGTCCCCCTAATGACTCTCCAGAATCCTGGTACAACACTCCCGGAAGCGGAGAATCGATCAACGGTCTTTCCTGGCATTTTCGCAAAGCAGAAGGCCCGCCCAATCCCTGAAGATCAAGGTTGCAAAGATTCGTCTGTCCCTGCTTCATGGGTTCGTCCCGGGAGTCAAAATCAAACAAAAATTTCAGATATGCAAAACCTCAACCATCATGTCCAGCAGTTCCCCGAGTACTCTAAGCCAAGACCCTTCGATGATGCGCACTTCAGCAAGGCAGGAGGTGTATAGATTGGGTCAAAGGGGTCCCTCCTTTTGATGGCACTGCCAAAAGCCAAAAAGTCATTGAACAACTCTCCACCATGCTTCAGAAGATTGAGGATGTTAACAAGTATGATTTTGACTATGGGGCACCTGCCACTATTTGCCAGCAAGGGAGGCACCTTACTTT